TGCAAGGCATTCTTCATGACCGTCAGAAATGTAAGAATTTGAAAGGATTTACCAGTTGTTACCTGTAGAATGTCATTGGATTCCCTCAAGCTTGAATGAGATTTGGCATAGGTATAGGTTGCATTAAGAAATGGAACTTGGACCCCACAATTTTCCAGGTATCATTATTTTCTGAAGTTAGCTGAGCTTTTTCTTATTCTTTTTTTTTTTTTTTTTTTTTTTTTTTTTTTTTTTTTTTTTTTTTCTTTTCTTTTCTTTTCTTTTCTTTTCTTTTCTTTTGTCCATTTCAGTGACATTTAAGAAATGCTGTATAAGTAGATGGAAGATGTCTAAGAAAAAAATGATATCAATCTAAGACTTTGTGCTTTCCATATGACTAATGATAAATGAGCCTGTCAGTTTCAAATTTCAACAATCAACAATGCATTTTTCTCAAAATAGTGTGCAAAGTCTCCATTTCCTCTCCCTCTATACAGCTGGAAGGCAGTGTGGGTGTTAAGAGGCCTGGACATGTAATAGTCACTGAGTTGATGTTATCATATAAGACTTTAGATTTTGCTTGAATTCTCAAGAAAATGCTGTTTTTCATGTTTCACAAGTATTCTTTGCAGCACATTGGGTGTCATCACCCTCTTTCACTTTGCTGAATGTCCCAAAAAAGTTTGAAATAGAGTAAAACTTAAGTGGGTTAATCTTTATGGCATGAACACAATAAGCTAAGGCAAAGTGAAGAAGATATTCTTTTAGAGGACAAAAAATTGTAGTCATCAATATATGAAATAAAGGAATAAGATTGTGGAAAGCACTGCTCACAGTCTAAGTCCACTCAGTTGTCCTGAGTTTCAGTTCTATTTTTTCGCGCATACCAAGGTGAAAACAATCTTTGCTTGGGGGTGTCATCAACCCTCCACACAGGCAGTTGCCCAGTCACAGCAGCTTGGATTCCTTCATAAATTTTGTGATGTTGAGTTTGCGATTTAGTCTCTAATGAGTGTATCTGTACTATAAAAAATTATGCTTAATCAATATACATGTGTCTTTCGGATCTGGGTGTCTTGCTGCCCACACATCCCAAAATCCAGTCATAAGTACTTGAGTGGCAACTCTCCCAGATGTATGGCTTGTAGGCCCTACCCCCACAAAAACACATGTACAGTGTCAAGACACTTTGCTTCTCCTATGCACTGATATTATCTCTTTTTATGCATAAGCTTCTCTTTTTTATCTACTTCTCAATTTTCTGTAATACAACCTGCATTGCTGCTCATGGCACCAGGAATACAAAGCTGAGCATGGAAATGGCTTCCTAAATGGAGCCGGCTCTCTTCTAGTCATGGCTCACGGACATTACATTCCACACTCCTATATTGATGGGAATAATGCAAAATGGCCAAATGAGTCTATAAGTGTACTTGAGGCAAGTCTTTTCCATCACCTTGGCCTTCATCCTAAGTGCTCACAACAGTAGGTTCACGTCACCCAGCCTACAGCCAGATTTTCCTATGATGGATTGTTCGTGTCACCTGCCCCACAAGCCAGTTTTTTTCATGACGTGATGGTCATGTCACCCGGGGTTGATTAGTCTAGAATGGTTTCTACAAGCCACAGGTGACGGAAAACTTAACGCACTCCTTCCTGGTAATGGCTTGGACTTCTATGAGCTAGACATCCTACTACCTCCACCTCTCTACCCCTCCCCTCATTCTTGTAGTTGATGTTAAACCTATTCCGTGCAAGCTGCCAGAGAACATAAGGTATTAGTGTTATACGCAGTTAAAAGATTTTTAGCCAGGGAGAAAGATTGAACCCTTTCTACATACTGCTCTTTATATAATCTTTCTGTACGTGTTCCACATGCAATATATGGGCATATCTTGAATAATAATTCCTGATATACATTTCTTTCTTAACTTTCAGGATGTTTTCCAATCATTGCTTGATTTATTAGGCTGGGCTTGGTCCACATTGAGATCCTGTGTTGGAGAAGTAAGTTTTCAGTACAATCTTCTTCTTGTACTGTAAGTATTCATTTACTTGCCTGGATACTTACATAAAGTCTTATTACAAATCCCATAATTTTTCAAATTTAATGAAGAAAAAAAAAATCATAATGGTTAATTTTTTTCTAGAATGTTATGTTTCATGTTTTTGTAAAGACTGAAAAACATTTATCTAGGATGTTTGTGTACTGCAGTACATGTAAACCACCTTTGCTAAACCTCTTTTACTTCTTTTGTAGCAATTTAGTCATGTTGGAAACACAGGAGCCAGCCCCACTGTTGCTATGCTTGATCTCCAGCGCTTGGTGTATATCTGTTGTGCTTGTCTGCGTCTACTAAGGATCTATATCAATGAAGTCTATCCAAATTCAGGTGAGTTTCAGAAAGGATGATAACCTTTATATTGAAGGTTGTTTGATTTGATTTGTTATTTGATTCCAACTTTTTTCCTGGAAGTAAGAGAGAGAGAAAAAAAAAAGATGTACAAAAATGTTTAACCT